GAGAGAGAGAGAGAGAGAGAGAGAGAGAGAGAGAGAGAGAGAGAGGATTGGAAAGATACAGAGAAGATTAGCATGTCCAAAAAAAAAGGTGCGAATGTATCTGACGCAGACAAAGGACCAGATACATTTGTCTGCGTCGAGCAGCACAGAGAGATAGAGAGAGAGAGTGGGGTGGGCGTTAACAGGGCGCGGCAGGCAGCTTTTCCTGCCCGAACCCATTCCTGCCAGGAGCCAAAAACGAAAAACAGTGAACTGCGCGTTAGACGGCCTATAGGTTCTATAGTAGGCAAAAACGGGAGGTGGCCTGGCCTAGCGATGGACCTGGCCTAGCAATGGACCAGATACATTTGTCTGCGTCAGATACATTCACACTTTGGTGGGCCGAGCAGCACAGAGAGAGAGAGAGAGAGAGAGAGAGAGAGAGAGAGAGAGAGAGAGAGAGAGAGAGAGAGAGAGAGAGTGGGGTGGGTGTTAACAGGGCGCGGCAGGCGGCTTTTCCTGCCCGAACCCATTCCTGCCAGAAGCCAAAAACGAAAAAACAAAAAACAAAAAAACGGGAGGGCCTGCTAGGCCAGGCCACCTCCCGTTTTTGCCGATTATAGAACCTATAGGCCGTCTAACGCGCAGTTCACTGTTTTTCTTGCTGTTTCAAACTGCTGACGGCCCAATCTTGCAGTGGACTGTTATTTCTGCGAATTCTGAACTGTGCAGCGGTCACAGGTGCAGTTTTTTCATTATAAATTTATAGTTTATAAACGTGTTGCTCCCCACCAACAGATTGGAGAAAGAGTCCTTATCTGTCCCTTGGAATGTGGAAGGAGGAGGAGAACATGGAATGTGGAAGCACATGGAACTATCTCAGAGAGAGAGCAATCAGATTACATTTTATTTTATTCTTTTTCGGGGAAAGTGTGGCTGAGACACACCTTTATTTTGAAAAAGGCAAGAAAAGTATCCAGCGGCCTAGCTCAGTTGGCAAGGCACGCAAGTGGCATTCAGGAGGTCTTGCCTCAGGTACCTTCCTGGGCAAGCTTGGCGCCCACCATGGTCCCCCCGAGTGGCATTGAGCAGAGACTGCTGATGTTCATAGGGGTAGGGGACCGGAGGGGACGCACGGTGACTGGCCCATCGAAGAAGCTCGGTCCTGATGGTACCGGCTGACCCCTGGCCGGTATCTCCCACCTGCTGTAGCAGGTATCGCACCTGCTGGTGGGTGCAGCTCCCGCATGTTCCCTCGATGGAGGCTTGAGCACGGATGTGGCTGGATGTGGCTGCTACGGGGTTCCCCGTAATACTATAATGACAATAAAAAAGGCCTGAAAGGCCGTCCTGTCCAGATTTGACAGGTAATTGAATTGGTTGGGCTTAAAGAATTAGCCTTTTAAAAGAAAAAAAAGAAAAAAAAGGCAAGAAAAGACAAAGTGGAGACTGACAACCCCGTGCTACATTTCCCCACCCAACCCCATGCTACATTTCCCTACCCACGCTGGCCCCTTCAGAATCTCTCCCCTCTCCCCTCTCAACCCACATGCCGGCCAGAAGGCCTCCACAAGGACTCAGAACACCTCTACATGGTTTACATGCGTAAAGAGGCTGAGATCGGAGAAAGGGAAACAGGCCAAGGTAGGGATAGAAAGGAGCAGGATAATCAACAGCAACAACAACAACAACAACTATAACAAGGACAACCGCGCAACAGCCGGAGGGGCCCACATCCCTACATACTAAAGTAGGATGATACGTTCCAATAAGGGGTTCTCCCCCACAATCAACATTAGATACAATCTGGACACATGCAATTGCTTTACAACATTGTATATTACTGGGACGCCGGACCCAATTTCCAGAGAGTGCAGCTCCCCACTAATAGATGGAGCCCTCCAACCGGGGACCACTTGCAGGTGCTGCTTGTATCACCCCTGCAATTGGCAACCCCCTCCACTGAGGTTTAAAACACACACACACACACACACACACACACACACACACACACACACACACACACACACAAAGTGGAGTCGGTGTCATGGTGTGAGTTTCAAAATGTGCAAGTTTAGCGGGGGTCTAAAACTGCGCCAGTCATTATACCCGCCGTGGCGCTTGGCAGGTTTAGGGGCGACTTTTTTGCTCCATTTCGGGAACTGCTGAAGTTGCCTATTCTGAATGTCGGGTGTGACTCCGATGTACTTGCCCCCTATTTTTTCTCTAGAGGTAACTATGCGGGAGTCACAAAAACAGTTTGAAATTACAGTTCGGGCCGAAACGAGTTTCAAATTGCACTTTGGGCACCGTACCTGACCGGAAGCTGGCTTGTATACATTGCCCGAAGTGCAATTTGAAAACTTGTTTTGGCCCGAAGTGTATTATCAAACTGTTTTTGTGACTCCCGCCTAGTTTTCCCTTTTTTCTAACAGTTCTGTGAAACTATCGTTCATGCTCCACTGAATTACTTCAAATTGGTAAAGACTTTTGAGGCTCCACCTGCCACCACTTTCGCCACTCTTCCCAACAAGTGTTCTGTTCTATCAGTGGAGCTGCCAAATCGTATGGCCGAGTTTGGCCAACTGCTACATCGGAGGGCAGACCTGGGCTTCACTCCTGCTAAAGAAATACTTGGCAAAAGAGTGGGGTGTTTACATGGGCAAGTCTAGGGAACGTTCTTTTAGGAGCGGCTTTCCTTTTCAAAACTCCGCATTCCACCGCTGGCCACTCTGCAAATAAGAATTCGCCTCATTTGCTGTGGAGGCCCCGATTTCTTCGGGAAAGCATGTACCTAAGGCAGAAAGTGCAATCAGAAAAGCAAAGAGTTTGTTACTCTTCTTTATGAATGGATACAATATTCATTACCCACAAAAGAAAAAGGACATAATTGTCATCACTCAACATCATTTACAAGAAAAAATGTAGTTTTTTTGTT